GAATTTACTGGGGAAAGGAATAATGCACAAGTGTTAAAAAGGAAATTTATGGTATATCAGACAGTAATAAATGCTGAGGAGAAAAAACTGCAGAGTAAAGGGGTTCAGACTGTGGGAGGCAGACATGGAGGGTTGCAGACTTAGAGGGAGCAGCCTTTCCCCGCGAAGACAGCATTCGTGGAGAGGTCGGCGTGAACAGAGCGTCGAGCCTTGGAGGGGAGTGGGTTGGCACTTCCGGGTGTGGAGGGGCAGTGTGCGTAGAGGCCCGGGTACAGTCATGGTTGGCAGTTGGCTTCAGCAGGTCCGAGGAGTGGCGTGTGCTAAATCGTAGGGACGGATAGGCCACTGCCAGGGCTGAGGCTTCTGCTCTCTAGAGAGGTAGAAGACGGCGGAGCATACAGGTGGAGTGACTTGGCTTTGGCTTGAAAGGATCAGTCTGACAGCAGGTTGGGAACAGGCCCAGGAGGCAGAGGTTGACCCACATAGGGCAGATGTTTGGCTCATACAGAGCAGAGGTCCGGACCGGAGGCCCTGGGGTTTGAACTCGGCTTGTCTTCCCAGATGCGCTGTGGAGATGTGACTGCGGCGTGAGGGTGGTGAGGTGGGGCCTGCTGGAGGACGTGAGCTCATTATGGGATTAATCCCTTAGTCACAAGAATGGGTTGCTGTAAATTGAACCTAGGCCAGGTCGTCTTCCTTGTCTCTCTTCCAAATGTGCCCGCTTGCTCTCCCGCCAGGTATGACACGGCGTAAGGCCCCCACCAGGTGCCTGACCTTCCTGCTCCCAGGACCATGAGCTAGGTAAATCTCTGTTCTTTATAAGTCACCCACCGTCATGAATTCTGTTACAGCCACAGAAAATGGACTAGAATCGGAGGCCAGTGGAAACTTCTGGGCAATAGTTGATGGTGACTTACTCTAGCTTGACGGCAGGGGAGCTTGGTGAGAAGTGGACAGATTCTTGATATAATTGGACGGTTGAGCAGTAAGGTTTTGCTGATGCATTGGGTATAGGAGGTGGAAAAAAGAAAGAGAAGAACCAAAGGTAATTGTAGGTGTTGGGCCTGAGAAACTAGATCCATAGAGTTGTCATGTACATATCTGGGGAAGATTATAGAAGGATCAGATCTGGGGCAAATCAGTTCGTTTTTGGTTGTGCTAAGTTTGAGATGCAGCTTAGATCCAAGAAGAAAAGTCACTGATAGTTACATATCTAAGTCTGAAATTCAGGGGAAAGGTGTGGGCTGGAGAAATGCATTTGGAAATCAGCAGAGTTCAGGTGGGATCCGCAGGCATGAGAGCAGGTGATGTCACCAAGGGCAGCGAAGGGAAACCTCATAGACACGAGCGTCCAAACTGCAACCCGAACTGCACTTACTCCTCACAAAGCGCCAACACTGCAGTTAAACCTGAACACTGAGGCTCCAGTTTAGAAAAAACAACTCACACATTAACATCTTCTGTCTTAAAGGAAAACACGATAACACATGTGCCATAGCTTCTCCACCACTGCCCCAGAAGCAGTCCCTTGCACTGCCCAGGCACTTCCCCATGGGGCTAAAGGGCAGAAAAGGAAGTAGGGGCAGTGGCGGGGAACCTATGGCGTGCCTGCCACAAGCAGCTCTTTGTTATCCTTGAAAGCTCTAAAAGGCTTGCCATCACTGGGCTGGAGAATCCAGAAGCAATACAGATTGTTCCTTCAATCAGCAGATATTCATGAATATGTCCACTTGCCAGAAATTGTGCCAGCCGTCAAGAAACCAACATGGCAGGCCAGGCAAGTACCTCCAAGTAGTTCACATTCGTCATGACCAGAGGACAGTGACACACAGAAGCTGCTGGCATGTTGCTGAGCAAATGGGGAGGAGGAATAGCACAGCAACAGTGGAAGTATAAAACTGACTGCAGGATCTGAAGCGCAAATAAAACGCTCTGATCTCCATCTGCCTCCAGAAAAGATAAACCCAGCTGATTGAAATTCCAGGAAGCAAGATAAAAGAAAACACAAATTAGAAGAAAGAAAGATTACAGGGAGGGAGGGAGAGAAAGAGAACACAAAGGTATGAACCAACTAAGACTGCATAGCGGGGCATGGTGGCGCATGCCTGTAATCCCAGCACTCGGGAGGCTGAGGCAGGAGAATCGTTGTGAGTTCAAGGCCAGCCTGCCTACAAAATGAGCCCAAGGCCAGCCTGAACTGCACAGCAAGACCCTGTCTCAAAAAGACAAAAAAAAAAAAAAAAAAAAAAGACTGCATGGTTTTATCCTCAGCATAAAACAGTTTATACTTGGCTTATATTTTAGTCAACTTTGAAATGTTCAGAGACAGACATAGGCTCTATCTTACCTTAAACAAGTTTAATTATGTCATGCAAATATCTCTGAAGGAAACAAGTTTCACTAATTAGAATTGTATTCTAATACTTTCAATTGTATTTTAAAATTCAACTGCAGCCGCTCTAACAATAAAACAAATTACCCAGTATGTTAAACACTTTCTTTTGCAAAAGTAATTTTGAAGTAACCTTTTATTATGCTTGGCAGTGTGTGTTGGAAGGGATTTGAGCCTACTAATGTAAGCTAAGAGAAAGGGGGAAATGTGAGCAGAATTTAAAATAAGTATAAAGAAAAAGAAAACGTGTAATAAAGATGATGCAGCATGGCTTCTTGGGGGGCCTACCAGGTGGGAACTATGAAGTGGTACGGAACATGGAGGCCTTGGGCTGCTGCAGTACCCTTGTAGAGGTGATTTCTAGGTTCTTTCTGTCCTGAGCAAGGAATTGATCAAATAAATAACAGCAAAGCTTTACATGTGTTAAAGGCAGAAAAAAACAGGCTTTGCAGAGTGTTTGGCTCACATAGGAAAAAAAGGGTGGGGGTGGGGACAGGCTACAGCGAAGAGACAGGGCCGCCAATGCTTAACAGCGTAAGCATTAACACAGCCCTCGTATGTGTTCCACGCCACTATAGAAACCTGCCGGCGTACTCGGGAGAAGTCTATGGCACGGCTCTGAGAACTGTCCTGTGCATATGTCCTGGGATTAACAGACTACACTTACTTCTGCATCCGGTCTTAGACTCACTACAGCCCCGTCGCTCACGTGCTGGAGTGTAAGATTAGCTGTTGGGGTAAGGGAAGCTCCCCTGAAATTACATTTTGTGGAGAACCCTAAGTCTCTGGAAGAAGGGGCACAGGACCCAACTAACTTGTGTTTGAAAGACAGTAGTCCTGGGGTGACTGAAGGAGGGCTGGAACCCTGGAGCTGGACCCCGGAGGAGGAAGAGGAGGAGGAGAAGAGTGCTTCATCCAATACGTACTTACGAAGTCTTGTCATATCCTCGGACTGTATAAAATCTGCAGATAAATAACGAGCAAAATCTAACATGTTTCCCCTTCCAGTGGAGCTTCCAAACTAAAGCGGTGGTGTATGTCCCAGGAATTGAGTGAGAACGTGTACGCAGGAAATAGCAAAGTGGAGATATACACAGAGGGCTAAGCGGTACTCAAGGGGCACATGGGAGGCAGTGCTTAGAGGGCAGCAGGAAAACTTTATTTTAAAATAAAATCACTTAACATTTAAGGTATACTTTGACAGTTATGTGTCTATAATTAAAAATAAATAGAAATTTTGGTAGAATGGGCTTAAAACTGCATTGGTGAGGACAACAAAAACAATTGTGTGTGGTGTAAAACTTGAGATTTTTGGAATCGTGTTACCTATGAAACCTTGAAAATCAGAAAGACAGGGCTGGAGATTTAGCTCAGTGGCACAGCGCCTGCCTGGCAAGCACAAGGTCGTGAGTTCGATTCCTGGTACCAGAAAAAAAAAAACAAAAAACAAAATCAGAAAGACGGGTGGATGTGGCGGCGCACGCCTATGATACCAGCACTTGGAAGGCTAAGGCAGTCGGATCAGCAAGGCCAGCCTGGGCTACATAGTGAGTCCAAGGCCAGACTGAACTACTACACGGCAAGAACTTGTCCCCAAAAGCCAAAAGTAAATAAATAAATAAATCCAGAAAGATAGAACTTAGAGCAACAGGGAACTGAACAAGCTCCGGCCTTGAATGTTGGCAAGAGAGCAAAAACCAAAGCAGATACTGGGCCAAGGTCTTCCACACCGCTAAAACACGCTTTTCGGATGGCACTTGAAAGAAACTTCTGCGTCTCCCGTTTCATGACAGCATTTCCCATACGGTGCCGCCTTCCAGGTGGAGGTCCCTGGCATTTCCTGTCGATCTTATTTATAACACAGGCGCCCTACAGTTGACAAGCCGAGGTGGTTCGGTGTGCAGATGAACGGCAACCGACTGTTCACAGTCTCCGTCACTGGTGTGTGTTTGCTACCTCATTTGCAGATAGTTTGCGTACTCGTACTCCTATTACCATTGGCCGCACTGGGACAACCTAGCACAGACGCTTTACACTGCAAACATGTAAGACAGTGTTAGTTGCCCTCATTGAAGGGTCGACTGTATCGGGTGGTTGGACGCGGAGCAGCAGAAATACAGTGAAAAGGCCAGTTTCTAGGGCTTGGAAAGGGGGGACTGTAGGGTACTGTGACGGCGAAGGCTTCACACCACCCGAGGTGCTGGTATCCGCGCCCCCGCGAGGCGCCACCGTCCGTCCTTCCGCAAGCCCTCGGAGCAGAAACGTAGCGACCGCTAACGAATACTCAGGCTAAGAAAAACACGGAATCGGCCGAGCGCAAGCGGAGCAGGGTCCCAGCGCGAGGGGGCGTCGGCCGCGTGACCCGCCGCGGGGTCGCCGTGACACCTGACCCTTCCCGCCCACGCCGGCACGGGCGCGGCTGCCGGGCGCAGAGCCGGCCGCGGGCGGGGTGGGGCCGCCGGGTGGGCCCCAGCATCCAGCCCTCGCAGCTCCGGGCACTGGGGCTTCACTGCCGCTATTGCGCAGGCTCTGCGCTCCACGCAGGCTTATTAGGAAGAAAGAGGGCAAAATTACCCGGAGGCACGTGAACGCGTGGGGACCAACCGGGCCTCCGCGCCCCGCCGCATCCCAGTCCCGAATTTACGATCACGAAAGTTCGACCGCCCGCGGATTGGCTCCCGGGCCGCGTGACGTCATAGCGCTTGATCCCTGCTCCAGGCCGGGATTGGCTGGCCGCGCCACTGTGACGTCACGGTCAGCCCACGCTCCGGCTGTGGACAGCGGCGCCTTCCTCTTCCCCGCGGCAGGCGCTCCTCCCGCCTCCCCATCCTCCTCCGCTGGAGCTGGCCGCGGGCACCCGCCGCCGCGCTGCCCTCGGAGCCGCTGCTGCCTCGGAGGAGGTGAGCC